CACAAATGAAAATAACAGTAAAGTGTTTAAAAAGCAATATAAGACTTTCCAAGCATCAGCAGACATCAACATATTTGAAGTAAAGGCTTAAAGAACAAATGCAAAATGAGGAAAAATAGATCAAGATATCTAGAAACTGCATTTCAAGCACCACAATAAACCAAAATAATTAAAGAATGATAAAATTCAATTCCAATAAAAACTTCCCTGAGGCCACTTGAAACAACAATACCGAGTGCGTGAAAAAATTGGACTGACAATCAGATTGGACACCAATTGCTTGCTGGAGTTGAGTGAGTGAAGGAAAAGATCAAGAAAGCAAGAAATCGGGACCTCACCTATTGATCCGACCATTCCCTTCATCCTGCCCGCAGCGAATCTGGAAGATAAAAAAGAATACTTATCCAGAATATTCAACTGAGTGAATTTTGATAAAAAAAGTTCAACCGAGTAGATGTGGAGTGGAATGAAGAGACTTCAGAGTAACATGGTATTAACTAGTTGAGAAGAACTTACAACTAAGGGGTCTTTGAGGTGAATGAGTCAGTGTACCTAGGGGTGGTAAACGGTAATTCGGTAAACGGTTTACCGTTTTACCGAACCGGTAACCGGCGGTAAACGGTAAACCGTTTACCGGCGGTATCGGTAGCCGAGAGGGAAGTTGGGGGAGTCGGTTTACCGGACACGGTATCGGTAAATACCGACGGTAAATCGGTAATACCGATACCGAAATCCCCCTCCCTACTCCCTAGTATTGCGCCGCGTTTTGTTGCTACCCAAATGGCCAAACGCTAAAAAAAAATCAAAATATTACAACATCACCCCACTTCCAGAAATTCGGTTCGGTAAATATTCGGTAAACCGATCGAAAAATCGCTCGAAATCGCTTCTCACGGTATTTCGGTAATACCGGTTTGTAACCGTTTACCGGTAATTCGGTAATCGGTAAACCGGTTACAAACCGGTATCGGTAATCGGTAACCAATTTGGTCAACTTCGGTATACCGAAATCGGTAAATTCGGTAAACGGTAAATTGTTTACCGATCGAATCCCACCCCTAAGTGTACCTGTTTTGAAATTCCACATGAAAAATCGACAGACAGAGGAAGAGTCAGTGCAGCACTCAATGAACCCAAAAAGGATCTAGAAATCATAGTCTTCTAAAAAACTCGATAATCCTCTCAATCAGGGAGCTTGAAGAAAAAAGGGAGTAAGAGTTTTCTATTTTGATCGCAAGTGACTCACCCCCGAAGAAATTCGATTAGCAGGTCACCATTAATTGGAATCGGTATGTTGGATCTCTGGTTTATCCCCCCCCCCCTTTCACCATCTATCTCTGTGTGTCCAATAGTTGCAATTGGACTTGCCACAACAACCACCATCACCAGCAAAATCTGACTTGATTGAACTCCGGTTTACTCGTCGCTGGCCTGACAGATCTGAGAAGAGAAGAATAAAGTGAGAAACCTGAAACAAAGCCATAAAACAAATCGCAAAGACGAACATACGGGTTTCTTGGAGCGAAGGGATTCCTCATTTCAGTACCTTCAGATTGTCCTCTTCACCAAAGAGCCAGGCGACGGAGCTTCCGTCACTATGACTTCGTCTTGAAGTTCTTCCCTCAATCAAGCACAAGGGATAGATAATGAGCGCATCTGAGGGAATGAATTGATCGAGTTTGATTGTCATGAGCCAAACAAAAAAATTACAGTCGCCAAACAGAAAGTTGGAAGTAACCATGAGAGAGAAGGCGTGAAAGGAGAGGGAAAAAGAGGGCGAAACCTTTGATAGTTAAGATTGTGAGGGAAGTTTCAAATTTGGATCTCCATCGAAGAGGATTGTCGATATAATGAAGAGGAAGCAATGGTCATCGTCGCCGGTTGCTTCTGGCCCATCCAATCGCAACAGCTGGGCATGTAGAGATAGAGTGATAAAAAGTGGGCAATAAACCAGAGCTCGAGTATTGGAAAAAATTGGCACTAAAAAAACCAAAACCCAACCATAAAATACCTGCAATGGAGGATGAATTCTGGATACAATCACATGAACATTCCATCGATTCCTCTGAGAATGAATAGAAAATCGAACCATGGATTTCTCACTGGTTGTGCACCAAGAACAGACGGAACAGGAGCATCGGCATTGCAAAATGAGAGAGAAGACAAAAGTCAGTAGAAAGAGAGAGGAAATGGAGAAACGCAGATCGGAAGGAGAAAGAAGAAGATATAAAAGAAGTTTTGCAGGGGCAGTATTTTCCTCTTGCTCCCTGACATCTCGAGACCACCACCCATAACGTAGCTCTCCTCTTTTTCTCAGCAGGGTCAAATCAATACACCTATGGTTTCAGTCACAATCGGCTGGCAGAAGGATAAGGGCATCATAGACACTCATGCGATGCAAAAAGAGGAGAAGGAGCAAGAAAGAGAGGCCGAGATGTAGTCAAAAGACGACGACAAGCCTGTGAGAGTAGGTTGTATCAAACGACAGCTGAGAGAGAAAAAGGCATGCGAGAAAAGACAACCAGAGAGAGGAGGATATCTAACCGGATCCGCGGACAACGTGTTTAGGTTCGCACAGCAGCAGGTATAAGATCCGGCCCAATCTCAAAAATACTGAGAAAAACCAGCTGGCCCAACCACAACATAGTGAGAAAAGTCATCGGGCCCACGCAACAGGTAAGCAACCAATCAGGGGAGACTGTATAGTAAATTTTGGTCCAAATGAATAGTAATCTCAGTCTATGTGCACAGTAGGAGTAGTGTCTTCGCAAATAAAGATCTTTAATTGCACTCACCTAACATTGTAACAAGGTTGACCCCAAACACTTCACATGTCAAGGGCGATGGTATTCTCTTCTATTATCTATGAACGGAAATTGACTTTATTGTTGGAGTGTAATCCGGGGACTTTCCGTATTTCCACATGTTCACTTCCCCCAAAGAGATCAGACGAGCGAACCATGAGTCAAGTCCCACACAACTACAAATCATTGTATTGTGTCGTAAGCTAGATGGTACAAACAATGACATTTTGTTCGAATGTCTCATTTTGCATATCCACTCGTCCAAATGACCCACCACTACAGTTGATTAAGTATATACATGTAATTACAAGAGTAATTTATGAAATTAATGACTAACTGCAAATGATAGGTTTAAATTTTATTGATGAAAACATAGTTTTTCACAAACACAGAATCACAAAGACGCGAAATAAATTATAGATACATTTTAAATATTTAAAAAAGTAAATCACTAAATCCCAAACAAAACAAGACTCATATGTTTAGAATTGAGTTCCTAGACTAAACATATCATGGAGATCGAATCCTAGAGCAACAAGTAACGAACTTGCTGAATATTAATTATTATGATTCATGAGGATGCCGATTGCTTGCTTGCAACCACCACATTCATACCACCACTCGCTGCATGCACATTCACTAGCACACACCAAAAAACTTAGGGGTCGTTTGGAAGTTGCGATTGTTTTGTTGAGATTGTCATTATGCATGTATTGTTTACAATGCATCGTTTTATTATTTTTTCAGCAGAAACAATACATGGACTGTTTCTATGATGTGACAGAAACTATCACTCATTTTGAGTGATTGTTATATCTCAACTTTTAGTTGAGATTATTGAGATAGTTGAGTTGAGATGGTTTTGTCTCAGCTTTTAGCTTATGCGACATACACAATCACACATACCAAACGTTGTATTCTACAATGCATCAAATTCGACAATACATGTATAATATTATACATGCATTCTCAACAATACATCTATTTAACAATCGCAACTTCCAAACGATTAGTTGGATGCTGCTGCTAATGATCCATCATCCATCGAACTGCCAAACTTGGCCTTTCTGATTTGTTCTTGTATGTGCTCTTCATGAAACTTTCTCTCTCTTGTATTCTACGTTGTAAGGGGCGTGCAACCGACCAGATTAAATTCATGAGAATCCCGATTTGATAATGAAAGATATTTATTATCAAGGACTGGACAAATTGTGCATTATGATAAGTTTAGTCGGGTCCAAATGTTAATTTGATATATTTTTCTTCAAAATTTATAGAACACAAAATCGTATCATATTATATTTAGTTCGACAAGATCCGATACAAATATTGGTTTTGTCCAGTACAATTTTGTAAAAATCGGATCATATTATAATCAGTTCAACATGATCTGATACAAATCGGATCATTTTATATTCAGTACGGCCCAAATCGTTGCACACCTCTAGCTTAGCAGCTTTGGATCTTTGCGTTGGCTTCTCCACCCTTGATGTGGATGTCGTTTTGGCAAATGACATGAGTTGAGCATGGTTCATGAAACTGTATCGGACACCATATAAAAAAAGTCAGCAATTGGGTATTTTATTATAAAACCGTGGTTTAACCATTAATACCGCCTATCGGTTTAACTCCAAATGATTGAACAACATGTACAATTTCATGGACTAGGGAGTTGAGAAGAAACAAGGTTGTTAAACCCCTATCGAACCTCCGGCTGGACCTGGTCTGACCGAGTCGAGCTTCAAAACGGTTTCCAGAAAGCCCCCGGTCTGACCCCTAAAGAGGGAGAAGAAGAGAGAGGAAGAGGAACAAAATAAGGGAGATGGTGGGTGGATCATGGAGGTTAGGTAGATTTATTTTGTGAAAAATAAGTTTTTAATAGATATATGTAAGATAAATTTTATTTCGGTCATTAAATCTTTAATTACTATTTTATTTGTATATATATTTATAAAATATTTAAAATGGCTTAAACTAACCGGACCCCGATCAAACCATTAAACCTCAAACTCCTTACTTGACCGGCTCAATAACTTAAACAGGTTTGACAACCTTAAGAAGAACCAACTCAAAGTCAGAAATTTACCCCACAAACACTGCACACCCGAACGGCCAATTCCATTTGGAAATTCACCCAACAATTTCAAATTCGCAAATGCGCGTGAAGTGGGCACGCTACGCCGATTCAAATCAGCTCCAACTCAGGGCCTAAAAAGAAACAAAAAATATATAAACATTTTAATAAAGTTTTTCTGATTCAACAAGCGGAACGCAACACTTCAACCGTCTTCTTCCCTCTTTTCTCCCGGTCTCAGATTTCGATTCCCATTAGCGCAAATCACCGCCGTTGTTGCTTTCTCCGCCTTTTGATCCGCCGGCCAGACGCTACAACATTCGAACAAGGCAAGCCGAGACCGAAATTCACCCTCCGCCGTCTTTCGATCGCGAAAAGGCTTGGGGAAAGGGGCTGGTGAAGATGTCCACGATGGAGAGCTTGATCGGACTAGTCAACAGGATCCAGAGAGCTTGTACTGTGTTGGGAGATCATGGCGGTGGCGAAAGCATGTCTCTATGGGAGGCTCTTCCCTCTGTCGCCGTCGTCGGTGGCCAGGTTCTCCTCTACCTCCTCGTCTTCCGTATTTATCTTTTTTCCCGACTGCTCGCACGTCCATTTCGTCCTGTGCTCTGACCGGATCGTGTCTGTGAAATGTCAATGTAGAGTTCGGGGAAATCATCCGTGTTGGAAAGCGTGGTCGGCAGAGATTTCCTGCCTCGTGGATCTGGTAAGCTTCCGTCTCCTTCTCTGTACGGCGATTAGCTTATAGGCGCGCGAACGGCGTTCTTCTGCTTTGGACGAAGTTCGAGGGAAGAGATTTTCGACTGATCTAGCTTCTCCTGCGACTTTGCGAGTTGTGCGTCGATTCGTTGGAGTTTGAGAAAGATGGTTTCTTTGTGATTCATTGGCTTTTAGGATAGCAGGATCTGACTTGTTTGGCATTTCACTGTGTAGGCATTGTTACCCGGAGGCCGCTAGTGTTGCAACTTCATAAAATAGAGGAGGGACGCTCTGATTATGCCGAGTTTCTTCATCAACCGAGAAAGAAGTGGACTGATTTTGGTATGTCAAAAAACACTTTCCGTTGCTATCTTTGAACCATGAGAGCTGGGCACATTGAGGTCATCACTGTGTTGGAGTGGTTAAAGCAACCCAAAACTTGGTTACTTGTTTATAAGGTTTTCTATGGTCGCCCTTGTATCTGTAAATACAAACTAATGGTCAATTGGAATTCTTCAGAACCACTTTTCTCTTAAGATTCCTGTCTGTGGGGTGTAGGCAGTCAATAATTTCCCTCTTTGTATGTGTGTTTGATATCATTACCAACTTTGTCGAGGTGTTTATGTTAAAGGTTCATGCCCTTGAAGAGGATAATATTGAAAACAATTGCATTACCTTTCATGATATTGTGTGGTTTCAATCAGGTTCCTTCCATATTTGCTTTGTCATATAGGGTTACAATCCATGCTGAATTTCTCACTGTTGGAATCAGAGTACATGCTCTTGATGTTGTGAACTGAAGTCGACAGAAATGAGTTTCCATGTCTTGAGTTTTTGTACTTTGTGTCTGATTCCTATACTCATTCAAGTTAAGTTTTGAGGTGCAAAATCCTCTGTCGATGTGTAGCTCTTTCATGGGTTATGAGACTGCTGTACTCTGTGTAGCCTTAACCCGGGATCACTATATCTTCACTGAATACTTGTCTTGGAGTCTATGCTTGGTTGCTTCACATATGTGCATCTATACATAATAACTCTTTAATGAACCCGCAATCACAATTTTTATGCTACATATCCACAGAGTAGTAGTCTTCGTTTCTGGTTATCGGTGTTAACGATGTTTGAATTTGTTAATATGCTTGTTCGTGAGTTATAAAAGCTCTACTATCACTTTATCTGTTGACTGAGAGTTTCTCATTTATGCAGCCGCGGTGCGGAAGGAGATCCAAGATGAAACAGATCGAATAACTGGGAAAACAAAGGCGATATCGAACATTCCAATTCAACTGAGCATATATTCTCCAAATGGTGTGTAATTTAATTTCCTAACTGATAGAAACTTTTTGTATAAATTATTAGTGCATATATGCTTAGCAAGTTAAATGTTGTTTTAGCTTCCTCTGATTAGATTAGCTAGCTGTTTGTAAATGTTTCACTTTCCACCATTTCCTACCTTGTTTCCTCATTTTCCTAGTTAGATGATATGGTTGCACGGTATACATTCCATAAACTCTTTAATGTTGTGGTCTTGACTTGTAATTTTGTTATTTGTGCCAGTTGTCAATTTGACCCTCATAGATCTTCCAGGGCTGACAAAAGTTGCTGTAGGTAATTACTCTAATAATACCTTTGTTCAGTATAAGTATCTCATTTTCTTCTGTTAAGCAATGAACAGACACTGTAGTGATGGAATTATTCTCTTAACATCTACAGAGGGTCAGCAGGAAAGCATTGTTCAAGATATTGAAAATATGGTCCGCTCTTATGTCGAGAAGGTGAGAATACATAGACTCTCGTAATAGCTATTTGACATTCAGAAAGACGAGAAAAGGTGAATGTAAAAGAAAAATCTTTTCATTGATGTCCCTTGAGTGATGTGTCTACGTATCCTTTTATGAGCGTGTAGGAAACCCGACTCCGGGTTAGGGAGGGAGAGGGCCGGTCGGCCAAGAGGGGAAAGGAGAGAGTGGCAAACTTGTTATTTTGGGTTATTTCGGTTTACACTACTTAAAGACTCATTTCATTAGTTTTGGGAATTAAGCAATAAGAATCATAAAACTATCAAATCCCTAATCTCTCTTCTCTCTCTTGTTCTTCCCCAATTCCCCAAATCCCTAATTTCTTCCTTTCTCAATCCCTAAAATCCCAATTGGAATTTCTTGTGTTCTACATCTGGTATCAGAGCCCCGATCTTCGATGAGTTCTTCCAAACTCTCGGACCTGTCATGGGCAGAATTGAGAGACCGAGCACGCAGCATCGGAAGGAGGTGGCTGGCCGACGAACCGGAGGCCGCGCGCGCCGCCCCAGCGACCCCCGCCGCCGCGCGCCTGCCCCCGCCGGCCTCTCCGGCGCCGCGCGCCGCCGTTTCCCCTGCGTCGTCGGGCTGCTCCCCGCCGAGCGCCGCCGTCGCGCCTCCCGCGGTCCGCCCCGCGGCGACTGCCGCGTCCTCTCCAGTCGCGCCAAGCGGCCCCCATCCCTGCCTCTCGCTGCACTCGATGGCGGGCTGGGCTTCCCCGGGGACTCTCCGTTTCCGAGCTCGAATAGAGGATCGTTTGGCCATTACTCTGGTCGACAGTGGCGCATCATTGAACTTTGTCGGCGAGGAATTCGCCAAGCAACTGCAACAGGTGGCCGAGACCACTGATTCCATGGTGGTGAAGGTGGCGAATGGTTCTACACTGAGCTGTGGAGGAGTACTTCGAGGTATATCTTTGGAAATTCAAGGTCTACCTATATGCACTGATCTGTATATACTGCCAATCAAGGGATTCGATATTATTCTGGGGATTCCTTGGCTACAGAGTTTGGGTCCTGTGATTAGTGATTGGCGCAGGTTGACCATGCGTTTCAAATGGAGGGATAAGGATTGGCAGCTGCAGGGCCTCACCACCGTGGCTGGTCCTATCTCGATTGAGGACTGTGGTCCGGAGGGTGAAGCCGATTTGGCCATTCTGTGTTGGCCAATTGAAGACGGGGCGCCGCCGGTGCTCCATCCGGAGCTTCAGGAGCTGCTTGGCCTTTATTCGGATTTGTTCGAGACTCCCACTGCCTTACCTCCTCACCGACTAGTGGATCATCAGATTCAGTTGAAAGAGGGAGTGGAGGCAGTGAATGTGAGACCGTACAGATATGGGCATTCGCAGAAGGAGGAGATTGAGAGACAGGTTTCTGAGATGCTGCTCACGGGCTTGATTAGGCCGAGCACCAGCCCGTTCTCATCACCGGTGTTGTTAGTGAGGAAGAAGGATGGGACCTGGCGCTTCTGCACGGATTATCGGGCTCTGAATGCAGCCACAGTGAAGGATCGCTTTCCCATCCCGACAGTGGATGATATGTTGGATGAGCTTCATGGATCCCGCTATTTTTCGAAGCTGGATTTGCGGGCAGGTTATCACCAGATCCGGATGCAGGAGGAGGATGTCCATAAGACGGCGTTTCGCACTCATAACGGGCACTATGAGTACTTGGTGATGCCCTTCGGATTATGCAATGCGCCGTCCACCTTCCAGGCTGCCATGAATGACATTTTTCGGCCCCTGCTGCGCCGGTATGTCCTGGTTTTCTTCGATGATATTCTGATTTACAGCCCTTCTTGGGCAGATCACTTGGCTCATTTGCAGGCAGTATTCGAGATTCTACGGGCAAATCAGTACTATATCAAGGCATCCAAGTGCGAGTTCGGGGTGCAGGAGGTAGAGTATTTGGGTCACATGGTGACTCCACAGGGTGTGAAGGTGAACCAGGCCAAGATTCAGGCCATGGTAGACTGGCCGGTTCCCACGACGGTGACGGAGTTGCGTGGTTTTCTGGGTCTGACCGGGTATTACCGGAAGTTTGTGCAGGGGTACAGCATGATCGCCCGGCCATTGACGGATTTACTGAAGAAGGGAGGGTTTGCATGGTCACCAGCAGCGGAGGCTGCATTTCAGCGGCTGAAGCAGGCTATGACGACCACTCCGACGCTAGCCATGCCGGACTTCTCCAAGCCATTTGTGATCGAGGCGGATGCATCGGGCCGGGGAATAGGGGCGGTGTTATCTCAGGACCGCCATCCCATTGCCTTCATGAGCAAGACACTAGCCCCCTCCAAGGAGGCTTGGTCTACGTATAAGAAGGAGATGCAGGCGATTATTACAGCAGTACAGACCTGGCGGCCATATCTCTTGGGGCAGAAGTTTCACATTTATACCGATCACCAGAGCTTGAAGCACCTCCTCGAGCAGCGGGTGTCTACTCCGGATCAGCACAAGTGGGTATCGAAGCTGTTAGGCTACGATTATGAGATCCACTATCGACCGGGACCCACTAATGTGGTGGCGGATGGGTTATCGAGGAAGCCGGGCAGCGAGATCCTCGCCGCAGTGACAGGGCCTGTTCCGCAGTTTTGGGATGAATTACGGGCATCCATGGAGACCAGTCAGTATTTGCAGGATTGCCGGGAAATCGCCGTGAGCGATAACCCGGGACATTATTTATTTCGGCAGGGGCTGGTGACGTTCAAGGGTCGAGTCGTTCTTCCTCCGGGCTCGAACCTGGTCACTTCGGTACTTCAGGAGTTCCATGACTCGCCGTTGGGAGGGCATTCCGGCGCCGAGAGGACGCTTCGCAGGATTAAGGGCCACTTTTACTGGCCCAGGATGGCACAGGCAGTGCGGGACTATGTGGAGTCATGCGATACATGCCAGAGAGTGAAGTTGTCTTACCTGCGACCCGCTGGCCTGCTACAGCCGATGCCGGTTCCGGAGCGGGTATGGGAGGACATCAGCATGGACTTCATAGTGGGGTTGCCCCCTTCAGGTGGGAAGACAGTTTTGTTCGTAGTAGTGGATCGGCTCACGAAATATGCTCATTTCATGCCCTTGGCGCATCCGTACACGGCAAAGATGGTGGCCGAGCAGTTTGTTTTGGGAGTGGTGCGACATCACGGATTTCCCAGGTCTATTGTCAGTGATCGTGACCCGGTTTTCTTGAGCAGGTTTTGGCAGGAGGTTTTCGCCATGGCACGGACTGTACTACGCATGAGTTCGGCCTACCATCCACAGACTGATGGACAGACAGAGATAGTTAACAAGTACCTGGAGCAGTATCTGAGGTGCTTTACCCATCAGCAGCCGCGGCAGTGGCTGGCCATGCTTCCTTGGGCGGAATTGTGGTATAATACCACATTTCATAGATCTATTAAGATGACACCGTTCGAGGCGTTGTATGGGAGGTCACCACCGACATTGGTACAGTACAGAGGCGGGTCGAGCTCGGTGGATGCGGTGGACAGGTGGTTGAGCGCGAGAGATGAAGCTCTGGAGCAGTTGAGGACTAATTTGGCTGCAGCGTCCAATAGGATGAAGCAGGCCGAGGATGCAGGGCGGCGGGAAGAGGAGTTTGAGGTGGGGGACTGGGTGCTGTTGAGGTTGCACCCCTACCGGCAGTCTTCGGTTTTTCGGCGGGCATACCAGAAGCTGGCAGCTAGGTACTTCGGGCCGTACGAGATTATCCACAAGGTCAACCCAGTTGCCTACCGACTACAGCTGCCTGCAGGCTCGCGCATACATCCGGTGTTCCACATTTCCTTGCTGAAGAAGTATCGGGGCCAGGCGGACAGGGTGACATCGACGGCCCCTCCGGTGACAGCAGACGGTGACTTGGAGCTCGTTCCTCTCAAGGTACTAGAGACCCGGTGGACAAAACGAGGAGGGCGGCTGGTGGAAGAGAGCTTGGTGCAGTGGAAGCATGTGGAACCGGACGATGCTACTTGGGAGGAGTCCGAGGTGCTACGCCAGAGATTCCCAGCTTTCGACATCGAGGCCGATGTCGATTCTGAAGGAGGAGGGGATGTAGGAAACCCGACTCCGGGTTAGGGAGGGAGAGGGCCGGTCGGCCAAGAGGGGAAAGGAGAGAGTGGCAAACTTGTTATTTTGGGTTATTTCGGTTTACACTACTTAAAGACTCATTTCATTAGTTTTGGGAATTAAGCAATAAGAATCATAAAACTATCAAATCCCTAATCTCTCTTCTCTCTCTTGTTCTTCCCCAATTCCCCAAATCCCTAATTTCTTCCTTTCTCAATCCCTAAAATCCCAATTGGAATTTCTTGTGTTCTACAGAGCGAGCCTTTTGGTGCTGACATGCCAAGTTAATTTACATTGAAAGTAACTTGGTTTTTTGAGTTTCCAAGATTTTTAACTGTTTAGTCTTTGAATGCTTCTAATACTATATATATGGGTCTTGTGGACTTATAAGAATTTTTTAAATGTAATGCGTATTAGCCGTAAGTTAGTTTAAGGAGAATGGGATTGTATATGAAGCACTTGATTCATAAGTCAACTTTTCTTATGCCGTTATGGTATTATCCTACTTTTGTATTTAGTTGATCTAACTTCTGACTCTGATTTGGTAGCCCAATTCCATCATATTGGCTATTTCTCCTGCGAATCAAGACATTGCAACATCAGATGCCATAAAACTTGCACGAGAAGTCGATCCTTCAGGTAATATAGTTAGGCTGACTGTTGTACAATCTTATGGTTTTTTTCCTTCTATGGGCTGGATTTTAATTTTTGTTTTTGGTTTGTTGATTAGGTGAAAGAACGTTTGGTGTGTTGACAAAACTTGATTTGATGGATAAAGGAACCAATGCTTTGGATGTAAGGCCTTTTTATCCAATATCCAGGATGACACAATCAATTTCTTGATGAAATCTTATAATGGTTCTATCTGTGTTTAAGGTTCTTGAAGGACGATCATACAGGTTGCAACATCCATGGGTTGGAATTGTTAATCGCTCTCAAGCTGATATCAACAAGAATGTTGACATGATTGTTGCTCGCCGAAAGGAGCGTGAATATTTCGAAACAAGCCCGGAATATGGGCATTTGGCTAGTAAAATGGGGGCAGAATATCTTGCAAAGCTTTTGTCCAAGGTCTTTTCAGGAAAATTCTATTTACAGTGTTCTATGGTGTACCAACTTTCCATTGGTAAATTTCCCTTAACAGTGTTTCTGTTTCATCAATTTCAGCATTTAGAGACTGTTATTAGGCAGCGCATACCAAGCATCATTGCTTTGATAAACAAGACTATAGACGAGCTTAATGCAGAGTTGGATCGGATTGGCAGGCCTATTGCAGTGGACTCGGGGGTAAAAAATTCATCAGTGCACTTTGGCATATCTTGTAACCAAACCTATTCTCGTGTCATTGTTAGATGCCAACTGTTTGTCTTTGCTTTTTGTAGGCTCAGCTATATACCATTCTTGAATTATGTCGTGCATTTGATCGCGTTTTTAAGGAGCACCTTGATGGAGGGTAAATTTCTTTCCTTCTGTTTCTTTCGTAATATGCTTTGACATAATATAAGGAAGACTTCTCCTTGTTTATTCATAATTAATAGAAGCATTTGGAGCACGGTATGGACATTGAGAGACAAGTTTGCTTGCCATATTTCTGGCGTTTACAATGCACAGATGTTCATTTTGTTTGCTTAGTTTCCTTGCTGAAAAGCTCAAGCCTATTTAATGGCCAATTTCTTCTTCCTGGGTAATTTTATTGTTCTCCATGGTTTACTGATGAGGTCTTATTGTAGGCGTCCTGGAGGAGATCGAATCTATGGGGTGTTCGATCATCAACTACCTGCTGCATTGAAGAAGTTGCCATTTGATCGCCATCTCTCAACTAAGAATGTGCAGAAAGTCGTTTCAGAAGCTGATGGTTACCAGCCACATTTAATTGCTCCAGAACAGGGGTACAGAAGGCTGATTGATGGATCGATAAGCTTTTTCAAAGGCCCAGCTGAAGCCTCTGTTGATGCTGTAATGCTCTTCCTTGTGCCTGATTAACTGTTTGATATAGGGGCTACAAAATATAAATTAGGATTTTATTGCGAACTTCCTTCCTAATAATAGATAATCAATTTATCAACGCGTGCGTATAGATGTGATGTGCTTGGTTTGGCCATTTATGCTGAAAAAAATAATACTTACAAGTGGAAAAAAGCCACAGCCATTGGTTATGCTCTGAATGCATGTCCATGTATACTTAGTCTCCCCCCTCTCCTTCTCTTCTGGAGAAAGAGGATTCATACTGTATCTTCCAAATTCATGAAGCATTTTGTGGGTTTTGAATTCAGAGATATGTATATCATCATTTTTCTTGTACATATATCACCCTGGGAAACCTCCTCTATAGTAGTGGTGCATTAATGGTTATTTGCTTACGTTGCACTGGAAAATAACGAATCATTTAAGTGAAGCAACTATAATATTTATGTACCTGAAACTTTGGTTCTGTGTTGTCAGTTTGTTTTTTCTTTGTAGGAAGTGTCATCTTTAACAACTTTTCTTTCTGGTCACAACCTGTAGCTGTCATCTTTTGTCGTTCACACATGTTCTTTCTATTGCTTATGTGATCTCTTCCATGATAAATATGCAGGTGCATTTCATTTTGAAGGAACTTGTAAGGAAGTCAATGGCTGAAACAGAGGTAAAGACTCCTTCGTTGCAAGAATCATTTTCAACAATTGTTCATCATAGGCTGCTGACTGATTTGAATTTTGTTATCATGTTTGGGTTGCGTGCAAAATGTAATTGAGAATCTGGTGTGCTTGTTTGAACTATATATAGAACTGGAAAGAGGATGGCTTGTCAAGAAAATAAGAGGAAGGGAAATATGGAATTTGTTTCAGAACATAGGGACTGCTAGAAGACTTTCTGCACAGTTATTCTCTTTCTATTAGTAACTCTTTAATCATTTCATATTTTGATTATGGAACTGGTGCATACTGCAGTTATCACTGGTAGTGGTGATGAGGGTTAGATAATACTCCTGTTTGGATGAACTTATCATCTATTCAAAAATTATTGTCTTCCTCTCGTCGTCAAGTGGTCTCCCTTTGTGATGCTTATTGTGGCCTCTTACCAAGCTACCTCTGCAGCACTTTGATAGTGGCATTGCTTTCACTTAGCAGATGCTCTTGCTTGTTACATGGATTATACTTTGAGTAGATTGAGATATGGTCAGACTATGAAATTATGTTGATTTGAATGATCTAAAAAAATTTAGGCTCTTTGACATCTTTGCAATTCACTCCTTGCATGAACTATTCTCTTATGACCTAAATGTAATCAACTCATGATAATGCAGGAGTTGAAGCGTTTTCCAACGCTTCAGGCTGACATTGCTGCTGCTGCTAACGAAGCCCTGGAAAGATTCCGTGATGATAGCAGAAAAACAGTTCTGCGACTAGTGGACATGGAGTCTAGCTATCTGACCGTGGAATTTTTCCGTAAACTTCAAATGGAGCCAGACAAGCCCACAAACTCAAAAGAAGCCCCAAATCCAGCTGTCCCAGCAATTGACCGTTACAATGATTATCATTTCAGAAGGATCGGTGAGCAAGTTTATATTTTTTCCCAGTGCTCATTGTTTCCCTTCGTAAGTCATGCATTCACCAAAAAACATTTCCAGTGTTTTGAACTATCTACTTGGTCAGTTCGGAATGCAAACTGTATAGTGTTAGAAAATTATCAAACTTGAACGAGCGAGATGCCTACTGTTTGCATTTTTGGATAGTGCAATAACTGATATCACATGTGCCGTACTCTGTTTCAGGATCAAATGTCAGTGCTTACATTAACATGGTTTGCGATACATTGCGGAACTCGGTTCCCAAGGCTGTAGTGTATTGTCAGGTCCGAGAGGCCAAGAGATCTCTTCTTAATCACTTCTATACTCAAATAGGAAGAAGAGAGGTAATGCTTCTTTAATCTTTATTGGCTTTTTTATCGCCTTATTTTCCATTTTTCTGCACGCTTCTTTTATGTACAGAGCCGTGCACATGCATTTAGTTGCCAGAATGGTAATGGGACATGAAATAGTAGCTGGAAGACCAAATGTCTCTCAGAAAATATCATAAACTACGAATAGGACGCGAGAGTGCTGTTCCAAAATAATTTTCTGTCTTTGGCATAACATATTATATGGAGAGATGCCAGTCAGTGCAAAAACTGCTAGATGTAAAAGCTTCAGGAACGATGAAAGGCTACCAATGGAACTCTTGGTCTCCAAATACTCACCATAAAGACTCTTGAGAACCATAGGTTTTTGGGATAAGGGTGATATAGGTTTACCTTTTGTGATTTAGGTACTACTTTAGGGATTCGAACCTGGGACCGCCACGTTCAAAGCTAGACCAAACCCTTGTTCGTAGCTAACCTTAGCCTGGAGAATTTAATCTGGCTCTGGTGTCGTGTGCAGATATTGCTTAGGGGTTTACTCATTTAATTTAATACTTAGTGTGAATCTATGTGGACAGTAGAACTTCTCATAGTAATGGTCCCTGGTAGGTTTACTCATAGTTATGTGGACTATCGAACTTTTCCTAAGTTTAGTCACTCAACTGCGTAATGTTTTCTTGGTTCCGATTCATTACGTGAAGGGTTTTCCTAAGTTCATCTAAAAAGACACTTGCAACACAAATGACGTTATTGTTGGTGACACTCTTTGTCCCTTTGCAGAAGGAGCAGCTTGGTGCAATGTTGGATGAAGACCCACAATTGATGGAAAGGAGGACACAGCTGGCGAAGAGGCTCGAACTATACAAATCAGCACGCGACGAAATCGATTCGGTTGCATGGAAATGAGAGAAGTTTGACGCATTCGATTGAGGTCCACATTTACGTTCTCGTGATCGAGATACCCGACAGTGACGGTGGCTCTTTCTATAATTCACACTATTCTTTTGCGATGCTCACCACTCCGATTATCTGCGGTCAATTTTTTGCTTGTTAGTATAGTTGGATTGTACAACAACACACAACAGGTCAGTCAATATGGTGTTGATGATGTATTGGAAAAGAAGCTTTTGGGATGGCCTGGTGCTGTCAAAGACTGAGTGGTGAAATATGTACCCTTTTGTGTACTGTGTATGATTTGAGTAGTAATCTATCTTGTTACTTTTTGGCTAATGATAATGTGTCGTTGCTATATCCTGCTTCACATGGAGGAGGAATCTTGTTTAAGCTAAGGATATTGATATAGGTAATATAAACCATATCGATCATCAAAACTAGAAGCAGGCAGTCTGTGCAGTCGAACTGAATTGCGTTGCGCCGTCGCACACTAGGAAATGAACTGAGCCATATTGCATGTTAGATCACAAAGCTAATCGGTGGGGTTGAACCGAACCAGAAGCGTATCGGTTTGGTCCATGCCATTGCATTACGAAAGTACGACCCTAAAAGTGGGGGAAATATGTAGAAAGTGGTTTGTCCGAGCTAAGCTCCAGGTATGCTAAGTCTTTTGACAGTATCCTCACATGGCGGATCACGTTTCAACCACTTACCTAAATGTGCGATATATACATATTCTTGTTGCTGTATCGAATTAGTGGGTTCATTGTTGCTACTGGGAGGTGGTAGTCGAGTGGGTGTAAGGAATAATATCTTATTTTGTCCCGAATTATAATCAAACTTTTTATTTTGACTCGTGGTTTCTGAAATGGCTCCCCTTGCTCGAACTATGCACCATACTTCGTTGCATGGCCCGACACGAAATTTTGACCCAGTCAAATTGGACGGTCAACTCCATTGACCATTAGTCAAGTGCCATGTAACTTGCCACGTCAGCAAGCCCAAAATAACATAGTTGGATTTTTAATTTATTTAATTCATTTCATTTTCTAATAAAAAAAATTAACAAATTTAGATAACGAAAGATAATTCCAAAAATTCCAAAATCCAAAGTTCTTATTTTGGGGGTGCTGACGTGGCAAGTGACATGGCGCTTGACTAATGATTAATGGAATTGACCGTCCAATTTGACTGTCAAATTTCGTATCGAGCCAAACAAGAAAGTATGATACATCTGTCAAATTTCGTATCGAGCCAAACAAGAAAGTATGATACATAGAGTTCAGATCAGGGGAGTAATTTCAAAAACCACGAACCAAAGTAGAAAGTTTGGGTATAATTTGGACCGAAATATTAAGGGTTAATTACATGGTTGGTCACTGAGATTACAAAAAACGTTCATGTTTGGTCACTCGAAATATTTAAATCCATTGGTGGTACTTCAGTTTATTGAAACCGTTCATGTTTGGTCACTCTCCGTCCAGCTCCGTTAACTTTTGCTGATGTGGCAGTCAACTCTCAAAGTTGACTGTTAACTTAGTGACGTGACAACTAAAAAATTATTAAAAATAAAAAAATAAACTTTTATATTTTCCACCTCATTATTACATTCACTGAAAAATAAAAAAACCTCATTTCTTTATTTTTAGAAAATGAGACTTGCTTCCCGTAATCTCTGCCAAATGAGAGAGGGGGTAATCTATTGATTTATTTACCCACAGTAAAACCAAAAGTCCGGGGTTAAAAAAGAAGAAACCAAAATTTTTTGGGCAATGTCTATTTTTTACCCAAACCTTTTTCAAATTCTTTTATTTTAACCAAACCTATAGAAATTCTATTTATTATCCAAACGTATTATAATTTATCAAAGTCTGGGCATTCATTCTGTTACCGTTACTTATTTCGTCCATGTGAGGGGTGGGATTTTGTTTTGTTTTTTTATAATCTTTTTATTAAAAATAGCAAATGATGGTATTCTGACCGTCACGTAGGAAGTCAACTCATTATGGTCATACTTAGTCAGCATTACTAACAGAAAAGTTGACGGAGAGTTAACGTTTGGATAATTTTTAGGAATTCAATAGGTTTGGTTAAAATAAAAGAATCTGAAAAAGGTTTGGGTAAAAAATAGACATTGCCCAAATTTTTTTTTTTGGTTTATGTCCTCCTGCAGTAGCTGTAGTCAATTGGTGGCGACCGGCCGGCGCTCGAGCTAGGCTTTCTCTGCGGCAACAAAATGCAGCTAGGTAATTACTAATTAGGGTTGTTTATACGAAATCCCCAATCAATTGGAGAGAGTGGCTGCAACCGGCTAAATAGCTCCCCCTAGCTAGGGTTCACCAACACAACAAATCCGATGGAAGAACACATGATGCGCACATGGAACCCTAGCCAGCTAATTAGTGAAGGAAGAAGCACTTACTGGCCAGCCGGGGGAAGATCCAGATGCAGCAAGCTTGCCAGGACAAAGGGATTGGAAGCAGACGGTCGTTTGCGACTCAAATCAGACTATCAAGCGGCGGCGGACTGACTAAGGAATGATGAAGTAGTGGGAGCGTCCCGATCACGGGTACCTGAGTTCCTGAGAAACCGACCAAGGAAATTTTGGCGGGCCGGCATTGTTCTGGGCGGTACCCCAGGGAGAGGTAAGCAGGGTAAAACAGGAGATCTGCCGAGCTACCTCCATCCACCAAGATTCGTTTGACCTTGTAGTCTGCAACCACAGCCTCAATCACTAGCGGGTCATCATGGGGGTGGGTGACTCCGTCCAAGTCTTTGACATCAAAGGAAATTGTGGGAGTCCCCGCGATAGAGGATGTTGACCCCACCATCGCTTGACCGCAGGTTGAGAGTGGCTTTCCGTTAGCATTGCTCAAACTAGCGCCCCCGTGGATGACATCCACGACTCCGAGTATCCCACCGCCCTGTGGTGCCTTTCCTCGATCTGCCGGTGCTACTTCTTGAGGGCGGCTCTCCGGGTTCCCAATATATTTCTTCAGGTGACCTTCCTGTACCAGGTCCTCGATGTAGTTTTTTAATGTCCAACATCGCTCGGTGTCATGGCCATATCCCCGGTGGAAATCACAGTACTTGTGTTTCCCTTTCCGAGGTTCCTTTGTTATGGGGTTTGGCCAGGATATGGGGATCTTCTTCTCCTGGATTATCTGAAGAATGGTCTTGCGGGACTCCATTAGTGGGGTGAAAGTCCGGTCAGGCTTAGGGATTGACTCCTCCCGACGCCTGTCTCGACGTGCCCCCCTGCCTTGGCCAGACGGAGAAAGACCTTGTTGATGGTCACGAGACTTTGGTGAGTCTGGACGATGTGGAGGTGAGGGTTCTCGTTTCCTTTTTGAGGTGACCGAGCACGCTTTGGGGGAGCTGCCTCTTGTAAGGTTTCATCGAGGGCGATGTATTTGGACACCCATTCTTGGAGATCCATCATGTTGCGGGGACGCCGCTTTATGAGTGACGCTCGGAGAAGAGAGTTGCTTGTTCCAAATACGAGAGCATGAGTTGCATTTTCCGTGGTTAGATTGGTAACCCCGACAGCAATCGTGCTGAATCGAGAGTAATACTCCTTAAGGGTCTCGTACTCTCTTTGTTTAGTGCTCATGAGGCGAGACACGTCCACATTTGGCCGTTTCTGGGCAAAAAACTTGGCTCGGAAGAGGGTGGCGAACTCCTCAAAGCTGTTGATTATGCCATTTCACAACTGAGTATACCATTGAAATGCCACTCCCCGGAGGGTGGTGGGGAAGAGTTTGCACATGGTAGCGTCAGATGCCCCCACGAAAGGCATCAAAATCTGGAAAGCACTGAGGTGATCCTCTGGGTTGGAAGTGCCGTAGTATTCTGGAAGGTGGTGAGGCATTTGGAAGTTCGGGGGGTTGGGCTGATCCAGGATTGAACGGGCCAAAGGCTTGCCGTGCCCAGGGTCCGCCATGAAACTGAGAGTTAGGTGGGCCTCAAGGTATGAGAGATCCCCTGGTTGGGGAGGTGGAGGAGGGATTGACGTCCCATTGGGGTAGGCTGACCCTCCGGTGGTCTCCGGTTGGTGACTAGAGCTGGCATGCAGCCCATGGGTTGGAGAGGAGCTGATGTCAATGCTTGGACTTGGGCTTTCAACTGCTCAACTTGGGCTTGAAGCTCTTCAACAGACGGTGGAGGAGCTGGCTCTTTGTCTCGAACTCCGCCGCCAGTTTGGGGGTGTAGGGAGCTTTGAGACTCCATCATGAGCGAAGTAGTGGCGATAGGTTTTTTTTTTCTTCAACCTTTTGCTCCGGGGCCCCACGGTGGGCGCCAATTGTTGATGCCGGGGTTGTAGCCGACGTCGAATTTTTTATGCTGGGCACCGGAGTCGGTCGACGACCACCTTTCACCTCGAACTTCACTCGTGATGTTAGCTCCGGTCGTCTCCTGCAAAAAGGGTCCGCCGGCCGATCTCGACGGGGACACTCTCCGACGCTCAAGTTAGTGAGGGTGTTGAGTGGAGAGGAATATGACCTCGAAAAGAAAGACGAGGGAATGGAGTTGAGAATGAATATCTGCGCTAATCATAGCGCGAGTTCACGAGTCTAGGCATGGGGAATTTTTGCTTACCTCAATCTGGAGACGAAGTGGCCTTTTATAGAGGCTCCCAGGCGAACACGAAGGGAGTACGTGTCTCCTTCGAGAGCTTGGTGGTTTGGTCGGTGGACACGTTGCGGGGGTACGTGGCTAAAGGTTGAGGTGACCTGGGGTAGGCGGAGAGCCCAAGGTAGCCGAGGTGACCCAGGGTATTTGACCCCGGGGTGGCCAGAGCGACCCAAAGGTGACCCAAGGTATTTGACCCCGGGGTGGCCGGAGTGACCCCAAGGTGACCCAAGGTATTTAACCCCGGGGTGGCCGGAGTGACCCCAAGGTGACCCAAGGTATTTGACCCCGGGGTGGCCGGAGTGACCCCAAGGTGACCCAAGATATTTGACCCGGGTGACCAGAGTGACCCCAGGGTGGGCTAGATGACCCCAGGTATTTGACCCCGGGGTGGGCGGAGTGACCCCAAGGTGACCCAAGGTATTTGACCCCGGGGTGGCCGGAGTGACCCCAAGGTATTTGACCCGGTGACCCCAAGGTGACCCAAGGTATTTGACCCCGGGGTGGCCGGAGTGACCCAAAGATGACCCAAGGTACTTGACCCCGGGGTGGCCGGAGTGAGCCCGAGGTGGCCGGAGTGACCTCGGGGTGGGGTTGTTTCCGTCCAATAAAATAAAATTTTCTTAGGGTCCACCAGGTACCCACGGGTTTTTGTCGTAAAAAATTTACAATAACAAGTTCCTATCAAAATTAAAGTCAAATATCAATCTCTCAATACAAATTATCCATATATAAAACACCATTC